CGGGGGCGGGAGGGGGGAAAAAAACCCTCGGGGTGCTCTGCTCTCTCGCCGAACAGCAACACCAGCAGCTTGTGCAGTTGTTGCTCCGGTAAATGCTGAACCCGTTGCAAATTGCGCTGAAGGCTTTTTTGTTGAGTATTGAGCGGCATCTGTGACTTATTCCAGCGATGCATGCGAAAATTCCCGGGGGAGAACCCAATGAGTGGCCGCTGCGTTGAGAAGTGCAGAGGGCCCCAAATATTGGTGGTGGGTTCTTTTTCTCGAAGGGTAAAAGATGCATATTGCGATTACATTTGGTGCTGACCCCGCGTTCATCGTGAAGATAGGTACGTTAGGTGCCTGCTAGATATGAGCCATTGATCACAGCACACTTCTTTGGGAGGTGAGTGTGACGGGGAGAGGCCAGCATTTCCTCTGCCCGCTTAACGGCATCTCCCGAGAAAAATAATGTGCGAGAAAGCACAGAATCAGCAGCAGCAGCTGCTGCTGTTGAACCAGAGTGCCGTGGAACAGACGCAACGCGAAGGGCTTCGTGTTGCTCTACAAGCCGGCATACAGAAAAAGTTGAGGAAGGATACATTTGCAATTGCTACTTTCAGTCATATTCCGTATTTTCTTTTGCGTCTTTTGGCGTTAATGTTCATATTGTACAAGAATACCTGTCGTCGTTTCGTGATGCCCAAACGCATGCCGAGTCTCTTGCGAACCGAACTTCGCAAGCTCATCCTCAGCTTTGTGAAAGACTTCTTATCTGCTCCTGTATGGTAGGAAAGCGAGCAAATGAAATAAACGTGCATCTTATGGGGTGGATTAATCGGGCGGGGAGTGTGTGTCTTTTCTTAGGAAACTGAAGGCAGGTCCAACGACAATTTTTATCGTAGCTGCGGTCTACAAGCAGAGAGCATTGCATACTACATATGGAATTTGCCTTTATTTGGAAAAACAGAGGTTCGAAGGCGATGCTAAAGGAGTCTTGGCTCAATCTTGCCGCTTACAGGGACCTCCTCGGCCCTGGATGAAGTTGGGATCCTTTCGTTGGGCTGCACAGAGTATCATTCCCTTGAGCGTGCATGCATTGCATATCCGTTTTTGGTCTTTCTTTAAGCTAGCCTCAGCCGCAGTTTTCGCAGAATGACACTTCGTCAGGGAGTCCTTGAGCACTGCTCAGTGGGGTAGTTGTTTATCGGTACTACACAAGAATAAGGGCTGTGAAGGAGTTGGGTCAGTAGTTATTGCGCCGTGCAATCAGAGCAAACCCAGGAATAAAGCACAAAGCAGCCATGGCAAATGCCTTGATCAGTGGAAAAGGTGCTGTAGCTCGGGAGGCGACCGACCACAGGGAGTTAAACCGTCGATCCGCTTCTACGCATTTACCTCTCTGGCTGCAGTGTATAAGAGCGCTTCTCAGATTACCAGGAAATAGCCAAACCACTCCCAGTGGCTAGCGGGAGCCTATCCCGAGACAATCGTAAGGCGCCTGCGCAGAATACTTGAACAACAACCTTCTTCTCCGCAGGTCTTCTTCGCTGTCTGCAATGCCATCTGTCCTACACTGATAGTACTCAACCATTCTGGAAGTATGGGTGATACGGCTGGCTTCCGTATAAGTAAACGCTTCCGTGTTGTGCTGTGCTAGAGGTGGGTTGAAAAACGAAAGAGAAATTGCGCATAAGCTCCAGTACCAGTACTGCTTTAAAATAATACCAAGCAAACAAAATTGAAACGCTGCCTGAAGAGACATCAATCTGCATTCATGGGTGGGTATGGGCTAACGCGAACCCCAGTGTCGGATGGTTCACCCTTTTGGAGCTTGTGCGCAGGTGTGCACGTGTCTACCAACTCCAGCATTTTGCTCGAGGTGTTCCAGTATCATCCTTCTTATGGTTGAAGAGGTTTTGACGTTTTCAGCTTATATCGCCATGGTGACACCTGCCACACGTGTGAGGTCGTAGGGTCACCATTGCACCAACCCGAAGCCCAAAGGATGCCAGAAGCCGCAGAGAGCGTGTTAGTGCTGTTCATTGACTGTGCGCTGAGTGACAGTAGAATCAAATGCTTGAGATCTACTAAAAGGGAGAATATGGCATCTGCCTCTCCTCCATTGTTGGCGGGTTGCTAGGTTCACCTCCTCGTGCTTAAGTGCACTTCCAACGTCGAACGACGGGTGTGATGCACATCGAAGTACAGCTCATCCAAGCATGCGGGCTGGACTCCTTGCATGCAGTTACGTATGTGTAATTTTGTCCCTGCCGTGCAGTGGCTTGGGGTAGCGTCACATTCCCCGCATTCCCGCTAGCCCGTACTGCATCCACATGTTCGCAGACGTCGGCGCCTTCTTACTTAATCTGAATACGCGATTACTCTAGTACTAGCCTCCTTCAATATTTGCTTTGTAGTCCTCGAATATTGGAGGCCTCATGTGGGTTGCCTGTGTGGGAAATCGTATATTGTGCCACAAGCAGCGGCTCCTGTTGGCCACCTTCATCGCTGCGGCTTTGCACAGTTTTGTTGAAACCACCGCAATGCTGGAGAACCGCCTGCCAAAGATTGTAGGTGTAGGAGGCCATATGGGGTGCCGGAATCCGCCTTCATGCAATATTCCCGACTCCAGAGTTTGCTCAAGAGTTTTATAGGCCTTCGCACACTTAGTCGCGTGTGCCTTTCGAACCCCGGGCATCTCAGTCTTGCCTCTCAAAAGCAGCCAGCAGTAAAATCTTACCGAACAGACAAAGGAAGCCTCATGACGACGGCGAGGCGCTGGGAGCCAAAACCCAACCCTACTGCGGCTCGCCTGAATCCCTTTTATGCTCATCACCCCTTTTTTCATGCGATACTAAATTCAGAAACGGGCCTACGCTGCCCCTTGGTCCCTTCTGGTTCCCAAGATGAAATCCACCCTGCTGGTAGAACTGATGGGCACGTCTACCAAAATCTCTAACTGGCCTGCCATCGTTGCGCTGTATTGGGCGGAAAATTTCCGCCGTCACCCATCATAACTTATGGAGGTGGCTAGCCTGATCACCAACACTGGTCACCAACACCGCCTTGCGATGTGGCATACAGATGTCCACAATCCTGCCGTCACATACCAAGTATTCAAGCACAAACTATCGTTCAGTGACATACACGTTGCTTCGGTCTGTTGCCGTCACACATAAGTTCACGAGCTGCTACCATACTACTGTCTACTACGCTATCTCCCTAGTTCTACGTCTCAACAGGTACACCGGGAAATGAGCAACCCAACACCTCCGAAAAATCAGCTGCTCGTGTAGGTGCCGTGGCCTGCGGAAGTTTCATTGGGTGGGTACGCCGTTTGCTTATTAGGTAGAGTTCGAATTGGATATGCTGGTTGGGAAAGAGTTTTCTCTCGAAGCAAGGAAATCCGTTGGCCTGCTATTCTCCCTACAAGAAAAATCTGCAGGGAAAATCCCAAAAAACGAGGCCTTCGGTAACTCCCCGCGCCCCCTTCCCTACCTAGCTCGCAGTGCGGGAGGCAGAAAAGATGGAGCTGCAGTGACTAAAACACAAGCAGTCTCCTTGCAAGGGGCAAATCTGGCGTAGGTACACCTAACCGCTGCCTACTCGGGAACAGTCTCTTGAAGTCGAGGTGGCTTTCCCGATAATAACGGGCAAGGGCGGGTGCCACCTTCAACGCCCATATCTCCTCCATCCCTATCAGCGCAAGACGTATGTGGCTGTGAAGTGCTCGTGGGATATGTACGAAGGAGCGGTGGCTGTTGATGTGACGGAGGCTTTGGGAGAGGGGCAGCTCTGACCGCTGAGGCCGCTACCGCGAGTGATGTCTCCGTAGGTTTGCTTTCCCCAAGAGAAAGGAAGGTACTTGTACTTGATCATCTTCTTGACTTGCTGCTTCATCGTGAGGATAAAAAGCAGGATGAAGTAGATTAGGAGGATGGGCCAAAAGACGGGTAAGTCGAACACCTGGAAAAAGGTCATGGAGATGGCAATCAGCAACGCTCGCATGCCAGAAACCCATGCTTTAAACTCTGGAACTTGGCGCAAAAATGGCCGAAATTCTCCTGGTTCGCTCTGGCCTCCGCCCCCTCCCCCCCGGACAGGCAAGACGTACTCGTCAGTTTCCGGGTCAACCTGGGGGGAGATAAAGCCAATCAGGAGATTCAAAAGATAGATGCCGAGGCCATAACTGACTACGAAGAAACCGGCCAAAAAATATACACGGACGATGTAGAAAGCCAAACACGCGAAAAGCACAAGCCAACGAGTCTTCAGGTACAAAATAGATTTATTCAAGTAGGCGTTGCTTACACGGCCCACGCTGGCCCAGACACGGGAAGAGAAAGGCTGATCAGCCAACTCCTCAGCACTCATAGAGGCCATCATTGTCCGCAAAGCAATTGTATAATGTCCCAAAAGGTAGCCCTTTTCTGAGTTCCTCCCCCCCCTGGGAGTCGAAGGCAATTCAGGAAGGAGTCCACCACACAGGGTCCCGGCCCTGTCCTCAGAGAGAAACCTTATGAATCCCTCCTACAGAAAAAGCTGAAGAAGTGCGAAGACGCTGTTTAAATTGCTATCCGCCAACCACAAGTACGCTAGAATTTTCCTCTGCAACGGCCAGACGCCTCCCAGAAAGCCCCACGTTGCCAGGTGATTTGCTCACTCTTCCTAAATATGACTCGGGGGTGTTTAATCATAAAATTGCACCATAAACAACCCCTCCTATATGGAGCATGTCTCAAGGAGAAGCCGCAGTTGTCAACATAGTTGTTGCCGCCCGAGGCGGCTGCCGCCAACAGCCAAGGCCCCAAGGCGTTTGCTGCTGGGCTGCACTTTTGGGAGTTTAGCAGATATACAAAAGAGTCATTTAGGGCAATCTTCAAAAATCATTTTATCAGAACATAAAAATCCGACGACTGTCACCAGGGTACGTGGACATGGAGGGGTCGCCTAAAACACAGTTGCTGTAGTGCAAAGGTATTACATTAGGGCTGGTATGGTCTCTAGCGCCTTAGTGACTATAGAGAGAAGCATTATCACATTAGAAACTAAGAAAGGGAATGAATACTGCTTAATGTTCTAAGAATCGAGTACCGTAGATAGAGCCAGAGGTTAGTAGGATTACCCCCGCCGGCAGCCACTATCGGCAGTGTGGCGTACTACCTTGTCGCTTCTTGGGTACCAGGTAGGCTCCTTTAGAGATCTAATTGTATAGGAAATAGAATTATTACTATCTAGGTGTATTACGTCTATAATTATGACTTTGTTGGAGTTCTAGGTCAGGTTCCTGACAGTTCCACCACTGTTGATACCCCTCGTCATTCTATAAGTTGGGCACTGACACCCAGCCGTAACCGGGGTCGATTCGGGACACAGTTCTTTTATTCTATGAACTAGCCTTGTTAATAATAGGGACTCTAAAATGATTTGGTACTTGCAGCATAGACCTCTGGGAATCTTGGTAGTTAGAGGTTGTACTTCGGAACCCAGGGACTACGAGATGATGTAAGTAGGGACAGCCTAGGACGGCTGCGCACTACAGTTGCGGTAGCAGTGCCGAGCCAACCGCCAAGCAAAAGAGCTTTTCATTGGGCGATCTCGTTCTGTCTTTTCATACCGTTACCTGCAGTCAGTTATTTCGCCTGCAGCAGCAACCGAACACACAGACCAAGCGCAACCCCTTCAGGCAGCTCCAATGCACGTAAAACTGTTGCCGATTCAGCAGGACCTATATGAAGTGGGTCCAGGATCTTATCCGAGCACTATTCTGGGCAGTAGGTGTGACAAAATACTTAAAAACTGTGTTTCTTAGACGCAACATGCCATTCACACCAGTCTCCAGGAGTCCTGGGCACAGCGGCTCAAGCGTCTAAAACTGCTAGAGAGAACGTACCCTTCCCTAACTTTCAACACATCTTGCAGTACCTCGTGCAAAACAACCCTACATAGAAGCACAAACAACCGGTCTTTGCCATGTATCCAGGCACTAAAGGCATTTGTTGCTAAGTTCTGCTCGTTTGTCCACTAGAGCAGGGCAGGAGTTCATGTCCCCATTGTAACGAGACTCGCCAATATCGATAAGAGCATCAAACGAGCGGCATCTTTGTGCGCACAAATTCCCATATGCAGGCATGAAAGGTATTACGCGATGAGGACACTGTTCACTGCCGCATGGGACGCTACGTACCAACCCATCACGGTTTTATGCGTTGTGCCAATGTTGTAAAGTTGATGGAGGGACTATGTTTGTGCTACGGCAACATTATAACCTCTAGCAACCAGTACTGCAGTCCAAAGCAAGCCATGTATTGGGATCTCTTGAATAAACCAGTGTTGCCTACGCGTATTAGGCTTATTTGAAGGCGTTATATTGAGCATACCGTGTAAACCCCTACAGTGCATGCACAGTCGTTCAGCTGCAGTCATACCTAAAGCAGCCGCAGGGTGAGCCTACGGATATTTCAGTTACCGACTGGAGAAGCAATGGGCTGGCGTGTGAAAAAATGCAGCACTGAAATGCCAGTGGATTGAATCCTCGTGCTCCGACTCTGAAGTACAGCATACAATAACTGATGGTGTGGCGCGCCTTTAAATTGTGTGCTTTTTCCCCAAGCTGGATAAAAAAGTCAAATATTAGCCAAAGCATGGTTTAATACTACAGCCTCCCTGGCCCGACTGTCGACTGTTACTGTGATACATTGTACGCATTCTGTCTCTGCCTCGGCTTCCATTCTCTGAGTGACACGTGATGCTGTTTTTTGTGGTGAGCTCCCGATGGGTGTATCACGCGTTGTAGAACGCTACGTCAGCTTTCATGTAGGTCTTTGCTTATATTCTTTAGGGAATAGCTGCTGTTAGACTTCGTATAGCATTGTGGTTATCGTGAGTGCCTGACCTGCGGAAGTCCCAATTATGTGTTCCGTATTTTGCTGCAGCGCCTACTGCCGTGCATTTAGTCCTCTTTATCATTGTTGAGATGCCCTAGAGCTAGAATAGCAGAGGGTAACTTCTAAATGTTCATCCTATAGCCGATGAGGTCCCAAAGTAACAATCTGGCTAGTTGATCTCGAGGCCGGTCAAATGATTTAAAAGGAAAAAAGCAAGTCTTCGGAAGACTAAGTAAAGTCTAGTGGGCGCATCAGGACAGATACAGCTATTTTCAAATAGCTGCACGCTGGCGCAGTATGACCGGCATTTGGTCTTCTGCAAGAGAAGAAAAATCTGTATTGTATAGTCCTGCCTAGCTCATAAGTGGCGGTTAAAACTGTAACAAGTCGTCGCCACCCCCTGAAGCGCCTCTCGAATGAGAAGATGAAGCAGCTCCGCGCTGAGAGCCCCTTCGATATGCCGATGACGAAGGAACATTTGCTGCCACGGGGTGATATTTCAAATTCTACAAGGATTTCGTACAATTTAAACACAAGGAGATGAGCGAGGGCTTGACAACGGGAGCTTACTTACTGGGAATACAACCGTCATCCGTACGGACGCTTCGACACAAGAGGTGCAATCAAGTTCTCGTTCACTCCAAAGCCACTTCGCCATGGTATAACGTATTTGCAGTCAGGGGGAACTCGTGTCAACGCGTGTTTGGGCTGATATAGTTCTCGCACAACAAAAAGCTACCACGACAGTACCCCCGATATTTACTGCAAAACAGGTAAAACGAACAGTTTTGCAGAAGCTACGCAGTGTTATCGGGACGTTGCAGACTGCAACTGGTCGCGAAGCAGCCGTCTAAAACCGTAGGGCCGGGACTTTACTGCTGCCGATGGGTTGTGATCCCTAATCAGTCGTTGCAGGCCAGTACGGCCACTTGGAATTATTCCTTTGCAACCTCCCAACATCAGCACTATGCAAAATTGCCGTTGGAAGACTCACTTCCTCTGTTGTCTGTGACCCAGTACCCTGTTAACGAGTACCTTGTCCGCTGGAAACACTGCGACCCTTGCATGAGGATTGCTCCAGAGGCTCCCATGAAGACGTTCACTTAACCGAAAACACCGTCGGCAAGAACCCACAGACTGATCTGCCTGTTAAACAGATGCTCGTTGGGCAGAACGCCATCTTGCACTTCATTTGGGTGCAATGCACAGCGGAAGCAGTGTGATATAATTGGAGGTAAAGGAAAAACTTGGTACAGAAGCAATAGCAGCGCGGGAAAACATCAAGAATGACATGGGCTGCTGAGCGTAGTGGATTTTCGAAAACATGGAGGCTCTGAAATAGGAGCAAGGGATACCTTAGACGTACTACAAGCAAGGCATGTACCATACGTAAACATGGATTCAGCCGCTTGTAATTTGCAGAAGCGTCTCGTACACTATCATAAATAGAGATTCCTGTAGATGGCCTATTCATGAGAGATGCTATACGCAGCTGCGATTTAAACCATACCTGACCCAGCCAGAGCAAGGATGAACGGATAGCCTCTTGCGGCCGAGGCAGCTAAAACGCATGCTAACTCAACACGAAGCCGAGAATATTGTGTAATCTGGAGGTCCCTAGACCAAAACGCACTTCCTCAGGCTGCTGTTTAATGCCTTAATCTCACCTGTTTCCTGGATACCCAAACCTCAGTAAATCTCTACTTGGTACCGTTATTGACAGGCAAGCCTTCACCGTCTGGTAAACCCACTTCCTGATCCATGGATTAAGTACCCCGGCTTTCATGAATATGCCCAACGTAACAAGATATTTGTCGTCTCTTGCGAGGTTGCATCGCGTGTTGTTGCTTCATACACTGGCGTTAGGATATCTCACTTCCTGAGGCTACAACAAAACAACCTGTTTGATTGGCAAAGCGCATAGAAACACCCTCTGCATAGGCACTGGCTCATGCGCTTTTGGCTCGTGAAGTGGCATCAGCGTAATAACTCACTTCCTGAGAATGAACAGAACATCTTGGGTGGTTGACACAACACATAAAAACTGTTTATGCAAAGGAACCCAGCCGCTCAAACCACCCCTGCATTGTACTTTGGGCGTTGCATGCCTTAACCTCGCCAACGCACTTTCTCAGACTGCTAGAAAGAAACCCTATGTTCCAGCACCGGGTCTGAAATAATTTGCCACGCACCAGAGCTCCTCATTTCTACATTCCAGTGAATGTGCCGTCCAACTTCCTCCTCTGAAGCCCATTTCCGCAGAATACGATGTACGGAATCTGGGCTCTAGTAGCAATCAGTACGACAACTTACTTGCTCTTCCTGGAAAATCTCACGCGGAAGCCTTTATATATATATATATATATATA